GTTCAAGTATACCATATTCTTATTAACTGTAAGCACCAGGCTGTACATTAGATCTGCAGAACTTAACTTACTTTATAGCTGGACATTTGTACATTTGACCAACATCTCGTTCCCTTCACCCACAAGCCCCTGGAACGAGTCACTGCTCTGCTCTCTGGTTCTGTGAGTTTGTTTTCACAGAGAAGTGAAATCATACAGTATTTGTCTTTCTGTGTCTGGCTTATTTGCTAAGCATAATGTCCTGCAGGTACACTCATGTTATTGCAGATGGCAGGATTTCCTTCTCACATGTTCTTAAACCATTTATTCCATAGATTCCTTTTATCAATCTGCATATTTTCCATTAATATACTCTCCAGTTCCTTAGTCCTCTTTGTCTATACCCAACATGCTGCTAACAATGTTCCTGTTGTATTCTGAAACTTGATTAATGAATTTGTCAGTTATAGAATTACCATTTGATTCCTTTTAACAGATGGTAGTTCTCTGCTGAAAGAACTTTTCTTGTCTTTGTGTACAATTTAATCATTTTATTTTAATGTCTTGTCTAATAAAATTAGACATAATAGCATACTCTCCGGTTGCATTTGTTACCTATTTTCCTCTGGGCTTTTAGTCACATCACCTTGTTTCCTCCAGTGCTTGGTAATTCTGATTGAGTGATAGACATTTATACAAAAAAATTATACAGAAATTATATAAGACTATATATAATAGTCCTCCCAATAATACTTACTTCTGCATCTGGAATGAAATAGTTAAATTATCATTCTTGGATTAATATAATCCAGTCAATGCATTTAAAATGATATGACTTTGGTTTTTTATTGCGTGTGAGGACTAGGGTAGTCTGGTTTTTCATTCCTCTTAAAATCCTGCTTCTAGGATTTATCGCTTCAGAGAGTCCAATCAAACAATTGGAAGTTTCACACACCTCCCCGTTCACGGTAAGCCAAATTCTATCTCCTAGAGGCTGACAAAATCCATGCATAGCTTCTCATTATCTTGCTACCTTTCTCAAAAATACACAGTTCTAGGTGCAGAGTTGCCCTAAATGCTGGGTCACAAATACTAATTTTCTTCCTTTTCAGATTTTAGCCTTGTTATTTCTCTACTGATCTATATAAATTTAAACTGTTCTCAGTAAAAACTGGCCCATGTTAGCTTGTATGCCATTACTGTAAGTAAAAGGGCATTCTCTTTTATTGGTTTTCTTCCATTTTTATTTTAATTCAAGACACACACATACATTGAGTAATGTAATTTTTATATGGTAGGTTTTGTTGAAGTAACTAGAATAATCTGTCTTACTACAACCCGATTTACAATTTGAAACATGATTTAAGATATTCCTTAAGTTATGGAATTTTATTACAAAAGGATATATGGTGCCTTGGCTTTATTTTACACATTAAAAAAAAACAAAAAACGAACAAACCAGATTCAGTATGAAGTCATTTTCCTAATAGGAACATCACCAAATCCATATGGAGAAGCAAACCCCTACCTGATTACCAAATCTATGCTTTAACTTCAGTGACAATTTATTCTATTGTTTTTTCTATCTGAATAATATTATCCCATTCATTCAAATACAGACCTATCATTGCCTTAGGAGGTTGGGGGCAGGGGGTGGTTGGTGCAGAGGGTAGGCATAGCTATATTTTTGTAAGCCTTTGCAAATTTTTGCTAAAGAGGAAAATATATATGAAGTATTATATAATATTCAATGATGACATCATCTATCCAATTTGTGATTCTATAAATACATGCTCTATAAACCAAAATGACTCAGTGAAAGCTTGATGGCAGTTAAGGAGTAAGCTTTTGAAAAAATATCTTTATTACCTTTGATGATTAAAATGGTTCTACTTCATTTGCAACTTTTTTTTTTAACAGTTTGAATTTCTGGCACATCTCATGTTTCTCTATGAACAGAGAAGCATAAAAAGTGATATCATATTCAAAGGTAATTCTCTTCTGTTTTCGATAAGTGTAAAGTACCTGTAATTCAGGATTTAACATTTCATTTGCATCTCTGTACTTACGCTATTTAGAGTTCCAGGTTTATTTTTAAATAGCCTTTTTTTTTTAAACTTTATCTTGTTTTCTTCCATTTGTTAGATTCTGTGAACAAACAATCTTGAAACTAGATTGGATCAATACATTTCTGAAGGAGCTAACTCTTGGTAGTTAAAATAATTAAAGCTTTAGTCTTCTAAGATAAAGAATTCTGTAATGCAAACAATGACAGTTTCACCTTATAAAAAAAGATTGAAGTGTAGTAATTATTTTAGATTTAGTAACATAAAATCCTGACAGAATTCTTGGCAAAACAGCACAAGCTATAATTCTAGTATATGCTGGCCTTGTTCTGGTCAGATCATAAACACCAAACGATCTATCAAAAGCAATGTGAAATTCAACTTTTTCCCCCTCTATGAGCATCACTCACTCTTTTATAAACTTCTTTTGAATTTAATTATACATATTTTCCAATGTCTAAGAAAAAGACACTCAAGTCCAATTATTTCCATCCTTACATTTCTGTTGATAGCTTTCAGCCCATGTAGTATTGACTGTGTTCGTTTAGTGTTAATAAAACTCTACAAATGGATTTGGAGTAGGTGAGAAAAAGTAATATCTTCTTTATATAAATTATGAAGGAACTTCCTCCTTAGGAAATTTTATTGTTATCATTGTATTCATTTTAGGAAGTCATTCTTTGGTATATTGTCGAGAGCCTTGTATTATAGATGGTTACATTCATCATCATGCAATACTACATTAATACACTACTATCTTTCTGGTTATAATAATATGCCCTAAGGAAACTGAAGATTCACATTTGTGGTTCCATTCTTTTCATTTAGAACCGTTTACACCAGTGGCAGTCCTCTTTTCCTTTGCTTTAAAGCTGTACCATCCTTGGGGCATCATTTTCCATGAAGGTCTCCTGACTTACGGGCATTAGGATGACTTGGGCCTTGATAAAATCTCATGTCACATTGCATATTTGTTGGGTCTTCTGCAATTAAAATTATCTTTTGGTAGAATGGTCCTTCATAAAAATATGTCCAGTGTTTGTCTTCTGGAGGTAGTTTTTTATTTTCCTGCTTATACGATCTTCTGTTTAGATGTAACACAATTTTAGGACATAAGAAATGAGTAATTATTATGATAAAATTTGGACACAAGCACATAGATTAAGTCCTCAAAATACTCTGTGATTCTCTAAAGCAAGTTAGTGTCCCAGTATGTCTCGGTGTAAAGTCAATGTTGATGCTGATGGACTAGCATAATGTTTAGATTTAGTGCCATAATCCAAAAGTTACTGTAAATACATTAGATATATTGAGGTTTACTAAAAAAATTAAGGAAGTTCTGATTTTTTTCATTAGTGCTTTTGAAACACACTTAATTGAATATTTTGCTGTATCAGTTAAATAATTTAGAATTGTCATTGGGAATGTTAGACTCTTTAATGTATCACGTAAGTCACATATGAATCATGGAGTTGTGCCAGAGGTATTCCAGCGTCCAACACAAGAGACTCAGATGAGGAAAATCGTGTTTTAAGTAATACTGGTGACTAGGAACTAAATAGCCTAAAATGGTGTGTGTTCATCTTAAAAGTATTTAAATAATAAAGAAATGAAGGCAGCTAATGCAGTGAGGAATTCTGACTTAGAATTACATATAATTTTGAAGAAACATTAACAAATTTGTTATGAGTAAGACATTACTTATGTGTATTTAATGTTGTATAGGGATATGCAGGTTTTTCATGGAATCAAAATAAAATCAATTTGATTAAAACTACTGATAATCTTTACCCTTCTAAATGAGTCTATATAAATACATGTGCTATTTTTCAAATTTCGTATGATTTAAAAGCTTGTACTTTATACTACTTTTGATATTACTAGTAATTTTAATTTGAATTTACTAGCAATTCTTTATGAAAAATACTTCGTGATTACTAGTAATGTTACAGATAATTGTTTATAGCTTTGCTAATAGTGTAAAAGCTTTATATCTTTTAGAAAATTCAACTGCTGGCATAACACTATTAAAATAAACTTGGATATTTGCTGACAGTAATATAAGAACTATATTCTCTCAGGGTATTTGGCAGTACCATTTATATGTGAGAATATTGGCTTTCTTGGTATATAAGAAGTATATGATTTATTTAACATTGGTGGTGTCCGTGCTTTTCATGAGCGAATTTTATGAAAAATAAACATGCAGTTGGTGCCAAATTCATTAATAAATAGAACCCACTGGGCTACAAATATGCCACCTGCATTATATACTTTAATGCCCTGGAGGTACATATTACTGTGAAATGGATTTAGTGCTTTGTGATGAAAGTAACTTATTCATATTCAAATTTAAAACCAATTACTGTTTACAGACAAAATAAAACATGAGAAATCTTTGATTAATAAGTCACTTGTGTATAGATACAGGATCTGTCATCAGTATAAGAAGAAATTCGATTTAAAAAATTTTCCCAGTCTGTATTTATAGTAGGTGTTAATTTTTTCAACCACATACACTTGTTTCTCTAACCCATTACATATTTTTAACTAATTTTTGAGTTTATTCATTCCTTGAGATGAGAATCTACACTATATTACATAATGTAATATAATGTGATATAATGTAAATATATAAAAGTTGATTAGATTTGTACCATTCCAGTTTATTTTGGACAAAATTTGTGTCTTCAACCCTATGCTAGATATTCCTGACTGTAAAAACCACATTCAAAGTAGTGAGAGCACATGTGTAGTACAGGCAAAGAACAGAACTTGAGTTACTTGAGTTCTGTTATTTCTTTGAATGCCAGGGGGAATGAGGCCAGTTTAGCAAAGTTGCGAGATACAAGGCCATAAACAAAACTCAATTTTATTTCTTGTTACAATACAATTAATTGCATTTGAAAATTAAAATCCAATATTGTTTGCAATTACATCAAAAGACATAATTATAAATTAAAATGTCTCAGATTTATATGTTGAGCTCTAACATCAATAAGAGAAACTAAACAATATCTAAATAAATAGATAGCTACATTCATGAATTGAAAGACTTGATACTGTTAGCATGTCAATCTCCCAAAATTCATCTAGAAATTCACTGTGATCCCAATAAAAATCCCAGCATGATTCTAGTAAATCTTGTCAATTGATATAAAATACATACAGAAGAGCAATGGACCAAAGTTTTGAAAAAATTATAAAACCAAGGATTCACACTAGAGTTCAAAATTTACATTTAAGCAACAATAATCAATAGAGTGGGATATTATCAGAATAAACATAAGCATAAATTACAGTGAAATAGTCCTATGCATGTAGTCAATTGCTTTTTGACAAAGGTGCAAAGGTAATTCAATAGCACAGGGTAGTATTTTAAACAAACTGTACTAGAGGAACGGAAAACCACAGGCACCATATTTTAAAAAATCAATGAAAAATAAATACTGGTGTAAATTTAAAGGCAAACATGTAAACATTTTAAAGAAAACACTGGAAAAATATTTATAATGTGGTTGAGAAAGAATTCTTAGGATACAGCAGATGAAACCTAAAATTTCTAAAAATGAGATATTGCACTTGACATAAAATTTTTACATAAAAGGAAATTGTCTCTTCAGTCAGATGTTATGAAAATAACAACACATATTTCCAAGACTCTCATATCTATTGTCTATTGCTATACACTCGGGAGAATATATCTGCAAAAGCATGTCTCTAAAGGACTTGTATCCAGTATTTATGCAGGACTCTTATACTCAATCATAAGAAAAAAAGAGACAAGAGGGGGGACACGTCTGTGACTATAGCGTTTTGCATAGTTTAGAACTTTAGAAGATGCAGTTATACAGGTCCAAAAATATTAATTCAACAAGGATGGGGAAATGCAACTAAAAGTCAAAGAAAAGCCAGAAATGAACCTTAGCTGTGTCTCACATGACTACCACGATCACTCAGAATGATAGAAAACGAATAAAGAAAATACAGGTAATTTAGAAAACATAAATGGCTATATATCCTTTGATTAAAAACAAACATACAAACAAAAATCCCTGTCAACTCATCTTGTAGGAGTGCAGTGTGTGTGCGTACATATGGATAATGGTTAGCATCAACCTTAAATAAAACAAATGGTAATTTAATTAAACAAAGATGAGTCTTCAAGCATAGCAGAGCGAAGTGCAGTGCAGGACAGGCGCGCTGTGGCGAGACAAAAAAGGCGGCTAGCTTTTCCCGGCTAGTGGGAGGCAGCCGGGGAGGGGTGTTTCGGACACAGTTCCCGGGAGGAGGGCAGCAGTCCGGGGCCCCGGCGGCCTCCCACGGCTGCAGGTGTGGGCAGGTCGCTGCCTCTCGGGCAGGAGGAGACGGTCCTTCCCCCGGAGGGATGCGTAGGTGAGGGCAGGGTTACTGCGTACCAGGGCTCCTCTGGCAGCTTCCCGACTCGCTGTCACGGTGACAATTCTGAAAACACACGGTTTATTGTCAGGAGACTGAAAAAACAAAAATATTTTGAAGATTGATATTGTTGGGAGGCAGCTTTTTATGCTGTAAAAGGGGAAATACTAAGAGAGGGAGGGTGGTGCAAAGAAGGCCAACCTGCAATGTTGGGTAGGAATGAGACGGATCAGGGTGAAGTGATGAGTTTATATATTAAAATTTTATATGCTGAAATTATGTAAAATAAAAATGGACTATGTCTTAATTGTAAATATAATTATGCATACTTAATACAATTTTAGTACGTATATAATTGAGTGTGTGTGTGTGTGTGTGTGTGTGTGTGTGGCTGTGTCACGAAATGATGTTTTTTTTGCTAGTCCTTTCCATTTAAATGGCCTGGAAGCAAAGACACTCCAGTAACAAAGTACACCCAGCTCACACCCCTGGGCCCTAACAAGCAGTCCCCAGTAAGAATGATGAAGGCTCTGGGGAAATGACTATTTCCAGCACTGAAATAGGGTAAGTAGAAATGAGTCTGGATATGCCAGAAAGTAAGCAAGTGTTTTTGTTTTAAAGTATGTCAAAAGTGGTGCAGAGCCATTTTGAATAGCCTTCCCTGTGCCAATGTAGTGCAACCCAAAGATGAAAGCAAAATGATAGTAAGGACCCAGCAGGCCAGGGAACGTTCCAAACTGTTTGCCCATCAGATAATAAACAAGGAAAGGATCAAGACGAGGAGGAAACCAAATTCCTTTCTTCCAGCAGAACTCCAGTAAGCACAGGGGGAATAATAAGGTCAGCAAATGACCACCACACGACTTTCAAAAAAAAAAAAGAAAAAGAAAAAGATTTGGTTCAGAAAAGAATCTTAGAAGTTTTTTAAAGTTATTGTTTGAAAGGCTGAAAGAGAATAGAATACTTACATAAAAATGTCACATCATTTCTCCCCAATTAGCAATTACACAAAATTACAAGGGAAAAAACTTGGTGGACAATGTCTAATCAAATTATTGGTGTTAACATCACCAATGATAGGACGCCCTGACAGAAAGGTCCTTCTTGTATGATACACTGCTTCACTGTTTCATATTCGTATTCGTTAAATTACGTAGCTTTTTCTCTTAAAGTAATTTATCAGCATGACCTTCGAGGCTTAAGAAAGTCTGAGGGTAAACACTTAGGGCTGTTAGTCAAAGGCTTTTGCATTGTTTAGGGTAAGAGAAGTCATTTTCTATCTTACTGCACACATTTGAAAACATATGTAACAGTGGGCAAAGTCGAGGGAAGCTGATAGAATGGGAACACATAAATGTCTATTTATAACATTTTTATTATATCAAATATTTGCCTTTTTTCACTTGTAATATCTTTTCAGTATATTAAAAATCAAACTCTGAGAAACTTTCTTTTTCATTCTTTATGATTCGCCATTATTTTTAGATTTAAAAAAATTAAGACTATTTTTTAAAGATCAGTTTAACACTCACAGAAAAATTGAGGAGAATGGTACAAGATTTTTTGCATACCCTCTGCCCTGACAGGTTCACGGCCTCCACCGTTATAAAGCTGCCCCATCAGAGTGGTGACTGGGCACAACTAGTGATCCTCCCTGGACGCCTCATAACCGCGTAAGGGCCATGGCTTACACTGCGGCTCAGTCTCGGGGTGTTCGATCCGTAGTTAGTTTGGCTGTGTGTTTAGTCTAAGGCAGATCTGTCCATCAGTGCTGGCCATGAATCAAAGCTGCTCATTCCCCAGGGAGGCAGGTGGACAGTGCTGCTGCAGTGGCCGGGGTGGGCTCAACACGGACCACATTCTCCCTTCGGGGTCAGAAACACCTTCTGCACGGGCCCAAGACTTGATTTACTTAGCATGAGTTGCAACTTTATTTTTTTAATTTTATTGTAGTTGACATGCAATATTAATTTCAAATGTACAACATAGTGATTCAATATCTATCTATATATATATGAGTGCCTACGAGGGTAAATCTAGTTACCATCGGTCACCACACAAAGTCGACACATTATTAACTGTGTAACTGACCTATGCTCTGCACTGACTCCCCATGTCTTACTGAGTTTACGACTGGAAGTCGGCACCTTTAAACTCCCTTCCCTGTTGTACCCATCCCTCCCTCTTCCTCCTCTCTGGCGACTACCGGGCTGCGGTGTGCATCTATGGCTATTTCTGTTTTGTCGTTTTGTATGTTTCATTCTTTAGATTCCACATAAAAGTGAAATCATACGATATTTTTTTTGAGACCTTTCATTTCTTAATTAATGGGAAAATTTTGGGGTAAATAATACATGCTTCTGCATTAGTAAGTTGGCTAATACATAAAAAGAAAAATTTTTGCAAATAATTATTTAGTAAACGTAGGGATTTCAATAGAGTGTTGGGTAACTGTGGAGAATTTTCTTTCATATTAGTCCAGAAATTAACACCTGGTAGTTGAAGTGAGGTGCAACCAATCTGGAGTCAGAAATTTTATCAATGAACTTTTCTACACTATGACATTAAAACCCACTGATTGGTTTAACATTTTAAATATATCTTTGTGCATAATATTCATAGAATTATTCTTTTAAAAATTGAAAATGTGTCAGTTTCCTTTATGTATTCAAATTTTAGCACATTTCATTATGAAAAATTTTTAAATTCACATCTGTTAGTACAAACACCAATTTCATTAGAAAAATTTAATTGTGCTTTTTGAATTATAATTGATATATTAATTTAAGGTGTATAAGTTAATGAGTCAATATTTTTACACATTGTGAAATGATCACCACGATTGTCTAGCCACTTCGTTCACCACACGCGGTTACCGACTATATTCCCTGTGCTGTGGGTCACCTCCCTGTGACACTCTGATAGAAACGGGAAGTTTGTACCTTTCACCTAGTTCACCGATACTCCCACGCTCGCCCTCTGACAACCACTGGTTTGTTCTCTCTATCTGTGAAGTGGTTTCCGTTTTGTTTGTTCAATTGTTTTCTATTTTAGATTCTACATATAAGAAGTGAAATTATATGGTATTTGTATTTCTCTGACATGTTTAACTTGGCGTAATACATTTAGTCCACTTAAGTCATCAGAAATGGCAAGATACTGTTCTTTTTTTATGGCTGAGTAATGCTCCCGTGTGTATGTATCATTTTTACCTATTTATCCACTAATGGAAACTCAGGCTGCCTCTGTGTCTTGGCTGTTGTAAATAATGCTGCAGTGAACATAATGGTGCAATGTATGTTTTTGAATTAGTTTTTGTTTTCTTTGGATAAATACCTAAAATTGGAATTCCTGGATTGTATGGTAGTTCTATTTTTAATTTTTCTAAATTCCATTTTTAATACCACTTTAATGGTATTTGGGACTCAGTTTGATTCACTATTTCCGTGTGGCTGCCTGCACCTGCATTCCCAACAACGATGTACACTAGGGCTCCCTTTCCTCCACATCCTCTCCAGGGCTCGTTGTTCCTTGTGTTTGATACTAGCCATCCTAACAGGTGTGATATCTCACTGTGGCTTTGATCTGTGTTTCCCTGATGACCAGTGACGCTGAGCATCTTTTCATGTCTGCATGTCTTCTTTAGAAAAATGTCTAATCAGGCCCTTTGCCCATTTTTTAAATTGGGTTTTGTTTTTTATTAATGAGTTGTGTGAGTTCTTTACATATTTTGGGTATCAACGCCTTATTGGATGTATCACTTGCTATTCTGTTGATGGTGCCCTCTGTACAGAAGCTTTAGTCTGACGTATTCCCAGTTGTTTTAGTTGGTTTTCTTTGCCTGACAAGACAGATCTCAAAACTCCTGCTCTGAAGGTCCACGACTTTACTGCCTGTATTCATTTAGGAGTTTTATGGTTTCACAGGTTTTCCATTTAAGGCTTCAACCCATTTTGAGTTTATTTTTGTGTATGGTGAAATGCTGTTTACTTCTTCCCCAGTTGTCATACAGAATAAAAATTACTCAGTAGTCAAGACTTCATAAAATTCATGATTTTTATTACTTTATTAAAAACAGTAAGTGAAATTGCAATTCATTATTATCATCAGTATAACGGTATATTATTTTCACTATGCCGTGAATTTGTAAGAAGCTGTGAAGGGTCCCATGGCTATGAGTATGGTTTGGTGATGTGTTTGTTCTGGGGGTGCAAGCAGCAGATATCAACAAGGACAAAAGGCAAATAGTATCTTATTGTTATGAAATAGTAGTAATACTGTCCTAGTCTTTAGATAAATGTAGTTACCTACAGAAACATTCAGTAGATGCTGTAAGAACAAGAAGCAGGAAAGTGGCAGAGTTAGTATTGAAAACCTGCACCTAAATCCTTAAAGCCCAGATTTCTAGAGAACAGTTTTATGAACCTGGCAGAATAGTTACATGAGCCTGTCTGCACAGTTTTGTATTACAATAAGTTGTCCTATTTTTTTCCTTCTCTAAATTATTTCCCTAAAATTATTCACAACTAAGCATTGTATCTGAACCCACAGATTGAAAAGACACATGGAATTGTCATATTTGTAAATTTTTGTTAATGTGAAAAACAAAAACTACAAAAAAAGTAAAAAAAATCTATCCTTCATTTGTGTGAATTTGAACAAATAGATTAGCATCTTTGAATATCTGCTTATATTACTGATATTAAAGAATTGTAGAGATTATAAGACATTATAGAGTTTCCTTAATCACAATAGTAAGCAGAGTAGTAGTAAATATTCTTTTGATATTCTATACATATCAAAATCATGCTTTTTATTTCCATGGTTTTTATATACTTTCCTCTGCAATGAATTTCAATAGATGTCATTTTGTAAATTAATATTTAAAAGTTATTATTAATCTGCGGTATATTAATTTATGGAACTAAGTTTGATTCATTTATCTGTACTTCCTAAGAATCTTCTTTTTTTTTCCTTTTTTAAACAGACTGGCCAAACTTCCTTTATGACTATTTGGTGGGTGTCATTCCACTATGACACATAGATTTAACTGATAAATATAATAT